GGGGGGGGGGGGCGATTCAGTAGATAAGGTACAGATTACCGGGAGTTCCCTCCAATATAACCCACATTCCAAAAAATGTTGGGCGAACCGACCTCTCACCTCCCCCTGGCGGTGACGATTATGATTAATACTGAAAACAATAATAATAATAATAATAATAATAATAATAATAATAATAATAATAATAATAATGAAATTAAAAAAGAAGACAAAATTAGGGTTTTGCGACACAGCAGAACAGTAGCCACTGGTAAGATAATGTTGGCAGGATGAAAGATTCGTTATCCAAGAGCGATGATGCCTCTATATCTATCTATCTATATCTATCTATATCTATTATCTATCTATATCTATATCTATCTATATCTATATATCTATTCTTTATATCTTATCTATTCTATCTATATTCTTATATCTATCTATATCTTATATACTATTCTTATTATTTTCTATATCTATCTATATCTATACTTCTATTCTATATCTATCTATCTATATTCTAATATTATCTATCATACTATATCTATTCTATATCTAATATCTATATCTATCTAACTATTCTATCTATATCTAATCTATATCTATCTAATTATCTATATCTATCTGATATCTATCTATATCTATCTACTCTCTCTCTCTCTCCTTCTCTCTTCTCTCTATAATATATATATATATAATATATATATATATATATTATATATATATATATATATATAGAGAGAGAGAGAGAGAGAGAGAGAGATAGAGACACGCGTGTGAAGACTATGTGGACAAAAGTTTCAAGAGGCCGGATCAGGCAAAAGCCAAGACCCGCAAGTGACGGCGACGACGATGACGATAATAACTAAAGGAGCTTGTGGGGGGGACCTTCCAACAACCGCTGTAACTTAGGGGACGAAGTTGTAATAATGTGGTCTCAGTGTACTTTTATTTTAATATTTCGACTGGTCCTCGAAATGAAAAGCGGCGAGGTACGCTGGCCAGTCACAATAGTTTAGTTCAGACATTCTACTAGATAGAATTCAGATAAAATTCAACAAAAAACCTGGTATTTTTTAAAAGTTGAAATATAATAATTTTTTACTGGTAACAAGTCAACCTGTCGAGGATTAAGAGCAATGTTATGCGTTTCCCGGCACATCTACATTCATACAGAGCCCCCCTGGAGAATTTCAGCAACGTCCATCCAATACGTTTAACACTAAGAAGATAAGACTTTGTGGCAGCCCATTTGCCTTTAAACATCATAAGGAACAAATACTAATGCGTCAAAATATATTCAAAGTAGTTTTTATATACAATTTTTCCGGCAGTTTAACTTTGTAAATTATAACTTTTTACACTCAAGGAAAAATTTCTTTAAGATGGACAATTCCTCAGAACCTGTCTATGACATTTCAACCGGAACACGAGCTAATCGCCTAAGCTTTAAGAGATAGGAGGGAATGAGTAAGGAAAAGAACTTCTGGTTGAGGGAATAGTATAATCACTAAAACGTGCTACCGTACACGAAACGAAAGTGGCGGAAGTTTTTTCTGTTGTGATTTAGAATGGACTTTTAGAAAATGTTCAATACGTTTAGAGGGGTTAGTGTGCGGCGTCCAACGTAATAACAATGACCCAAGCTAGTAAAACGCTAGTTTCAAACATATTTCCAGTAGTTAAATTAAGTTTATGCCTCCAAGAAAATGATAATTATATTTTTAATATCGCGTTAATACTAGTTTGCGAGTGATAAGAGCGCTTGTATGAATCAGTTTTTCATGAGGTTAGAGAGGGTATTTATTTACAATCTAACCGTAACTACCAAGTACACATTTAAGAGTATTATCTAAACGTGGATTTTCATAGCAATTCGAACATGATTGTTTATCATTCAATTGTTTCAAATACCGCAGTTTCTTACAGTACGCTGCGTTCACACCCATCCTTTTAATCAAGGGACAGAAGATATCTGGCCCTGTGCGAGCCAAGCGGAAATTCGTCTAGTTCTAAAATATGCTCAGTTTTGGTGTACCCGTTCTTTCCTTGGTTTATCACGAGCAAGTCCGTCACCACGAGAATGGTTGAGCACTCCTGCCACTTGGCAACGCCGCACGCCACAAAGCACGCGGGCCACTTCAGTCTTGAAGAACTTCGCACCGCGACTTATTTATGTAGCACCCAGCGTCCACAATTTTCTGCTGACATTGCGTACACACGCGTTATAAATTATTCGGCGCAGAACTCGCAAACCCTACAGAAACACAGATAAACATGCTCAGTCGGCACAGTTTGCAAGACACCAGTAACACCCATTGATTTGCTTGTTTGACACCACAAGCACACAATTGTACAGCGATGGGGATCTAGAAACTGAAAGAAGAGTGGTGCGCTGTTATGGGCACGTTGGGACATTTAGTGATCCGATCTTTTGCTATTCTAGGGGGAAAAACATTTGGTTTCATGATTATAGTATAGTTTAAGTTAAATACAGTTTATTCAGTCTCTTTAAGCTCACTTATGTGTTTTCTTTAGTTCTGAAGTTACTGCTTCTTCGAAGTAAAATTTAAACGAGTACTCTGTTGAATATTGGTGTCTGATACGACAAGTCAAAACAGTCTGACATTAGCAATTCTGGCAGAAACGCAATTAGTTATGGAACTTTTCTTCGGTTCGTTCTTCCGGAACTCACGCTATCACTTAACGCGAACTTAATGATCACTGAGCAGCGCTGCATTGACGGACTAATGAAGTAAATAGCTCATTTCGGGGAGCGAGAGGGGAGACTTCGGTAATATTCGGACCTTATTACGATTTGAGCAATTCTTACATGGAAAATAAACACCACTGGCAACAAATAATTTAAACAATATTTTCAACATGGAAAATATCTGAACACACGAACACTTAATTACTTGCGGGTTATTAATCAATTTATTAATTTATTTATTAATTTATTTATCTATTTACTATTTATCTATCTATTTATTATCTATCTATCTATTTATTATCTATCTATCTATTTATTATCTATCTATCTATTATCTATCTATCTATCTATTTATTTATTTATTTATTTATTCCAACGGCAAACAGTCGGATTACTTGATTTTTGTATGCTTCTAACCCGACTTCTTTCCAAGTTTCCTGGTGTACATTACCGTTGTTTAGAATCATCCCGTCAGACACAGTATTTTGGAAATTATTAGTGAGCAGTAACAGATCATTCTGGAAGGTTTTCTCTACAAATTTCGATATTACATGCTTGTGAAAGTTTTCGAAAGTCCTGGGAACACTTGAACAAATAAATAATAGGTGTGACTACAAAGCAACTTTATTTGAAGCACGGTTTGTTTGATTTATTAAATTTTAAACTTTTTTTTACATAACAAAAAAAATACGGCTATTTCAAACATCAACTCTAGGAAGCCTGTTCGATAAGAGCAGGTGTGAGACATTAAAAAGGATTCCGCACACACATAGCTGTTAATACGGATACAATTTTACAGATACAATTTTGCATTGATAAAGGGCAAAGATTTCTTGGGCATAGTTTGCAGTGATGCCAACGGGCATCTAGAAAAGAAAGAACAAGAGACAAGAAGGAGCCGGTCGTCCTCCGCCGAATAATCAATATATGTTAGTTGGGAGCACTGCAGGTAATGAAGGCGGACATCGCGCGCAAGTTTAAACTCATCTAAATCAACCGCACGCCCTTGACTTACGCAAATATCTGGAACTCGCGTGCTCATTAGAATATTCCACGAAGGAAGTGCAATATAATAGGCATAGAAATAATTCTAATGAGTAATATCACACAAATTGCACTATTTCGAAAACCTATTTTTCATATTACGACCGTACCCAATAACCTTTCTTTCGACGATTCTGCTGGTCCAGATAGGATAATTACTTTTTGTACAGCATTGAAAAAAACATTGTAAAATTGACGTCAACTTTGCATTCTCATAGATCTCTTATTTATTATAACTAACTTTATTGTGACTGCCTTTTTATTCTAAAATGTTTATTTTATGAAGCGATTATGATTAGCTCGGATAATGAAATGGAGATCAAGTATCAATTCCAAATATTGAAATCCAAATTTCTTTTGTTTAACGGAACATTTGGCAATAAACGGTAGTTACTGGTTCTGCTTAATTATTTATTTTTTAAATGAACTCATTTTCGTTTTCGCTTCCGTGGGAATAGCAAGACAAAAAGTATTGTTAACGTCCTCTTCACCACTGTTAGGTTGTTGCTTTTCGTATCTCCTCCGGATGCCGACAAGGTACAAAGGGCGGCGGTCACACATTTGACCTCCCTGCACACGCATTGTATCTCCTAGATAGATACGTGAGATGTTGGGTTGTTTGTAGCACAGAAGATAAACTTATCTGTACAGCGTTGACCTAATGTTTTCCTGTATTGTTCTCAGAATTCATAGCTTCCTAGGCGTCTTTGTTTTGTGCAGTTTACAGTAGATAAACATATCAGTAAAATTACTGCCATTTCAACATCAAACGAAAATCGATGACGTCCCCTCCCGATCTACTGGCTTAGGCCAGCCCCACCCCTCGCCGCCTCATCCGGTTCCCCGTAATCATACTCCAGCCCGTAACTTCACCCCGCGTTCCTGTAGTATCTAAACGCATTGAGGGTTGCATTAACCCAAATTTTATTTGACGAAGGGGGAAGAAACAACACGAACCTTCCTGTTTTTTTTCTCAGTCCCGATGTAACATTTGGATGAATCGGACCAATAGCGTTAAGCTGGAACCAATACGTGTATCCAGTTTTATAGATTACCATGTATTCAATAATTTCATTTAATAAAAAAAAATATCATCGACCAACAAACAAGTCTTATAACTCCATCTGCGAGGCCCGACAAAAAAAGCAGGAAGGGATTGATTCAGCCACCCCCAATCATCTCTCAGGGTGTAGGGTGCTAGACTAGAGAGAATTGAATTTCACCAAACGTATGAACACATTGCACATTGTATGCATTATGGTCATGGCTTCACTCTTCTACGCATCGCATCCTTTTCATAAGCACGATAACAAGGTTGGTATGATGTAATTTCACGGACCGAACAGCAGAACTAAGCGATATAAGAGAAACATTTGTTTTACTAAGTGATAAAAAAAGCAAAATCACGAGATCAGTTTTGGAGAGTGGTCGTCCATAATTGTAAACAAGTCAAAACACGTTCATGTTTCAGCAACGTACAATGTAGGGAGGTTTGGAGGCCATGTTTTGCAGTCGATCTCCAAGATAAAAGAGTCTCTCAGCAACGTGCGCGAAGCCCTACAGAGAAGGAGAAGACAGGACGCGGAATTGAGGTCAATGTAACCGGTTCTTCCGCGAATATCCGTCTCCCACTGAGGGAGTGGCACTCCCACCCAACCCTCATTACTCCCCCGGTGTTGGAGGGGGGATGCTGGAAAGGGAAATTCACCGCGCGTTGATTGTACTATGGCGTGTTAACATTGAACAGTGTTTCATGATAACCCATTCTTTATACATGCACAGAAGGAGGGGAGCAACAGTTGATAAGGAATCACCGCATCTATTTACCGATGGTTATCGAAACCACGATTCAGCATCTAAAAACATGAATATAAGTAAAAATGTACTCGTAATATGCATTTACACATAATGCCAATGTTCATGCTTACCACTAATTTTTCTTCTTAGCATTTGCTCAAAAACCAAAAACACATTTTTCAAATCTTCGTGCAAACCGAACATGTTCAGCTATACAGAATCCGCAAACAGTACATTCAATATAAACTACGGTCAAAGCATGTGCATCCCCAGTCGTTTAAACAAGCGAACTGTTAGCGAAGAGTTCTGACAGATACAAAAAACTGACATGTGACAGTTCCTTTAATGTCACGCAAAGAAAGTAAGACATCGCATGCTATCGCCATTACATTAAAATATACGTACTAGTCATTTATACGAATTTTAATTAATTTTTGGATCTTCAGAACAAATCAATGGGAATATACAACATGTTGACTGACATAATCCGGATAGAGAACTTCGTGGTTGAATGAATTACAGCGAGTGATCCGTTAATCACCGAATGTTGGGCCGCATTTCCGCGGCATCCACACCCGCGTGGTCGGCCGTACCTGGGGCTGGTTGCTGCTGCTGCTGCTGCGGCGGTGCAGCGCACGTGACGGGCATCGCGGGCGGCTGACGCAAGGCGCGCCCGCTCGATACTCCGGCGCTCGCCAGGCGGCCTGGGCCTGGGCCTGAGCCTGGCTGCACGCACGACACCGCCACGACCGCGGCTACCGTCTCCTACGCCGCTCTCCTCACACGCGCACGCACACACACACTCGGCGGTGTAGGACACCGCGTGCAACGACAGCTCCACGTCACGCAACGCCACGCACCGCTCGCCAACGCACTCCCGCCTGCGACCGTAGCGCCTTGCGGAATGCCCTGAACGACGCGGCGCGGCGCAGCGCAGCGCGGGCGCGGGCGACGGTGGCAGGGGGCGGGGCGGGGCACGACGGGTTGGCGGGCGAAGGGGGGCCCCTGGCGCGGCGCAGGCGGTCGATGGAGTCCCGTGACTGCGCCGCGCAGTGCGCAGCCGAGAGGCCGGCGCGGGCGAAAGCGAAGTGCCACGCTGTCTGTGCCAGCTTTTCCCCGTTCGAGTTAAAAGTTCAGTCGCGAACCACACAGTACTGTGCTGGCCCTAAATGAAAACAGCTCCACGAGACTCTCAAAATGATGGAATGCACAATAACGCGGGTTCACGACCTTTAGGGGTCAATTACCTACCATGAACAAGTAACCGCGTCGAATACTGAAAATAATGAAGATTATATTTATTAATACGCGTACTATTTATTTACATTTAATTTTACTGTAGATGTTTAATACGTCTTTTATTCATTATTTTCATTATCACATACTACTCATCACTTAAATATTAATCCCAGTCATTATATATTTCCACCGTCGTCTTGTAGAACAAATGTTGTACAATTTCAAGTGCTTTCTCTTTCACTTTTGCCCTTCTCCAAAATCAAATAATCTATGTCAAATATAAATGTCAAAATCAAATATAAATGTCTGTTCAGGTTATAATTCCGATGACGATAAAATCCAACCATCCGAGCGCATCATACTATTTTCCAAAAAAATAAGATTTTTTCTTCTCGGATAGAAACATGCGTAATGAGCGGACTGCGGGATACTTTTAACATTTTTTGGTCATGTTAGCGACGGCAGGATGCCTGACAAATGCCTTTATTTAAACAACGTAAAATACCGGAACATTTGTTAAAAAAATCAGATAAAAATGTGTTAACAATTTCTTCATCTTCAAAAACAACTTAGAATGTCAACTTTAAATCAGGAGGAGTCCTGAAACTAAGAACTCTGAATAGGTTGAGTTTCTTAGGTATGGTTTCCCTATACTCAATGATATGAGTCTAGGGGGGAAAATCTGTTAATGTTTAAAAAAATACAATCTGTTCATTTTCTTGTGACCTAAGAAGCTCAACTCCATGAGACCATAAATTGTGAGGGTGAAACGTTAAGAATTTCAACATTTTATAGTGAGTAAAATATAAAACATTGAAAAAATACACCAAATAAAAATATTTAAAATTCACGATAGTATATTTCAACAACAAAAAGGAGACATAAGCATTATCTCGAGAGAGTGTTTCGGACAATGCTGCTGCATTTACGAGACGGAATCAAGATAAAAAAAATTACGTCATTTATGCCCTAGATCTTACGTGAGATCTTGTGGGTCGCGGCGTTTATTCCACGGCACTCGACCTGCCGCTCGCCCGCTCTCCCTTCTTTCCTCGTGTCCAGCTGTTCGCGCGAAACCACAGACGATCAGAGGCGGGGGGGGGGGGCGGACGAGCACTACGTTCTCAGCAGCGCTTCCTCGTCCGATAAGGGCTCCCCGCTCGGGAAACGCCCCCTGCGCTTCATTCTTAAGCTTCCCGCTTCGCGTTGCCTTTTGAGGGCCACATCTCCAGCAGTAGGCTGCCACGTTATTATTTTATCGGCGCCACTTTGCCGACAGTTCTCGCTTAAAAACGATAGGTTGGCAGTGCGCTTATCGTGATAGTCCTCTCTTCTTCCCGTAATGCAGTAGAACCTCCTTAACACGAGTTCATTAATTCGAATTCGACATCTCAAATCTTGGTCTGTCAAAATATTATTCAGTTTCCTCTTCTTTCCCTAACTTTTATGCAAATAAAAATAACTAGGAGTTACACGCGCAGAAATTCCCTTACAACAACAAAAAATTCATTTACTTCGTGAAACTCACGATGGGTGTCGTGCGTCATTGTGGTTATTTTTAAGTTATTTCGGGCGAGTTAGAACGAGGATGGAACAAAACCTCTATCTCGCTATCTTGCGAACTCGTTTTTACGGCCGTTGGAGGCATGAGAAACGACGTCATGACGCGCGCACGTGGGGATTCCCCCATGGCCACTTCCAGGCTCACCATCAGCGTCGCCACCAGCATCTAACGCAAAAACGCTGCTCGCCGGACGTTCATTAGCGGCACCGCCTTACATATCTGGCACGCGGAAATCCCAAAATGTTCGTGGTTGATATGGATTCCCCGCCACCGACTGCAGAGCACGCCCAGGCGTTACGCCGCACAGCCTATTTCTAGTCGACACAATTGCGTTCACTTTCGCACGGTACAATTTCAAACTAGCTTTCGTGCATATCTAAAGAGGAACACCCAAGTGGGAGAGGGGCGTGGGGCTGAGGCCCCTCCCACCCAGATGTCAATGACACAGAGCTTTTACTCTATGTAGTTGTCTGTGCGGGAGACACCGTGTCCTAGGCACAGAGTCCGTGTCGGCCGATATGCTGCGACCTTCCTCACACACATCTAGGTGTTGAATATTTGGTCAAACATGACACACAATAGATTTTGCTGATTTGTACTGTCTGACTTTGTTACAAATAATAAATGGTTGGGGTCCAAAAAGCCTCCCCACTCGGCAAAACGTCACTTTTTCCAGGCGAAGGAAAGTCTGGGAGCGCATCACGTAATCATGAAAGATACACATGTTTAAAAGTATCGTTAAATGCTGTTTTAAATTTTAGATCACCGATGAGACTTTGGCTTGACATGTGAATTCCGTTGGTTAGTTACAATGAGCTTTGCAAAAAATATTGCAGGATGATCCACTTGGCGCTATGCGAGAGCGGGATTTGAAGGGGGGCGAGATAAAATTATTTAGTCGAAGGATCGATAATGGTGAATACTGAAGAATGGTAGAATTGTTGCGAGATAAAGGTTTAAAGATTTACGTTTAGGGTTGACAGTGGTAGTTATTTAACGTTGGTAGTAAGGGCGTTATTATTTGCTTCATGAAGTTGGATAGGAGTTGTTCAATAGCATTCGGTATACGCATTAGTACTAGAATTAAAGATGTATTGAATGCCAGGAGTCTGTGATGATGGTGGTGGTAGGCAAAGATGGGTTTATGCAGTTTAGAATAGCTTTTTTGAGTCGTGTGGAGATTGTGTATTTTGGGGAGGTATAGTTTGACTGTTCAATTGCTTGATTGTTTTAGTGACTCCGGGCACGTCAACTGCCATGGTCATTAGTCTCGTAAGTGTAGTGCATGTTTTTGTTCGAGATGTAGCGGTGATCTTTCCGTCGCTGTATGGCGAGATACGGCGCCGACCTTCCGTCGGCTAGCGGGGTTTTCCTCAACCAGAGGGGCACCGCCCCCTGCCGGGAGAAGCTCTAAGCTTCCGACCGGCCTCTCGGCATGTGTGCTTGTGTAGTGCGTGCTAGTGTACGTGTGTGTGTGTAAGGGGAGATGATAGTACAAGGATGAGGTAGGAAAGATCGCGCGCGGTCCGTGGCCCGTTTGTTTGGGTACTGCTCCGGCATTCACCTGGTGTTGATGGAAGAAATCACGGAAAACTACCGATTAGAGCACCGGGATGCAAGAATTCTTCCTAGCTTGAATTCGACCTAGCTGGTAAGCTAGTGTCCAAAATCCTGCCAACGCCGGGACTCGAACCTAGGACCTCCCGGCCAGAGGAACTGCAGTGACGTCAGTTGATGTCTTGAACCATCTCCGGACTTGGTTCGAGTAGGAGTAGCGTTTGAGAGGGTTATTAAAGGGAATTCCTGTGATAATGGAAAATGTGAAGTTGGTGGGAGTAGCTGTGGCCGCCGTTGTTTAGCTGGTACAGAAAGGAAAGGTCTTACATTCGTGGTACGATAAGGAGGTTTGAGGTGAGGACGACGGACAGTACAGGCACTCACGCACGTGGGCTCTGCTATCTGCTTCAAAGTTCTTTGAAGAGCAATTGATACAAATGCTTGTTGTGTTTGTGCAAGTGTGAAGCTTGTTGTCGCTGACGGTACTTTGATTTTGTTATAGGTGTTGAAGTTGCTGTTGAAGGCGTCCGATGTATTGCTATTTTGGTAATGGTTCGTGATTACCTCCTAAGGGCTATAATTGATGTCACTACAGTGCGTCTGACCGGAAGGTCCTAGGGGTTCGAGTACCAATGGTGGCATGATTTTCGACACGAGCTAATGAGCTACGTCGAATTCACCTGCTGTCCGGAATGAAATTCAAGCGGCCATCTGCTGTGATTGGTACTTTTCCGTTGTTTCTCCCATCAACACCATGCAAATGCCGGATCAGTATACTCGCAAACGGGCCACGGACCGCGGGGGATCTTTCCTTCCTCCTCATCATTGTCCTATCCTCTCCCCTTACTTACTTACATACTCACTGACGTGCATTAGACTACCACACATTCGGGAGCTTAGAGTTTGTCCTGGCTGGGGTGGTGCCCCTCTGGTAGGAGATACCTGGTTGGGGAAAATCCCGCCAGCCGACGGGTAGGTTGGCGCAGGATCTCACTATCCAGCGGGGGAAGAACACCGCCACTTTCCGCGATAAAAACATGGACTACACTTACGGGACTAATGACCTTAGCATTTGAAGCGTCCGGAATCACTAATTAATCCTCTGGTTGCATGGTGTACTACGTTAAGCCGTGTTGCGTTGTTGGAGAGATCGCGGCACCGCACACAGAATCGATAGGGAGGAGCTTTTGTGCTCAGCGAAACGTTACAGCAATCGACAGAACATTGGATCTTTCGCACTTGTGCTGTTCGAGTTTCGTGTTAATTTAGTGCACATGGTCATGCACAGAATATCGAGATTGCAGTCGATTACAGTATGATATGCAGGTCAAAAACTCCCTTTTATTACTACAGGGAACAGCGGGACTTATTGTGATCGAAACACTGGGCAATATATATTGCACTTCAGGATGTTTAGCATCACAATACGCAGTTGTACGCCCACAAAAGCCACTGTGGCTGGAACCACGCTTCGCGGGTAGCGAGGGCTCTGCGGAGCGGAGCTTCGCGTACGTCCGTTCACTATCGCTTCCAGGCGAGAACTGCGTTAAA